CAATTAAAGATACATTAGTTAAGAGCTAAATATGCCTATTGCAAGTCTTGCTATAGGCTTCAAATGTTATACAAATTAGGAATTAGACCTTTATTTACATAACAAGCCCAAAATCAACTCTGTAGACCCTCGGATGGCTTGGATACAGCTTGGATTTAAACAGTCGTATTTTTAATAATTAAATCATGAAATGGCTGACCAAGCTAACATTTACCGTTAATTGGAGACTTTCGATGAAAGGACTGACAATTGAGGGTACAGTAGGCATTGAGTATGTTACGTGATAATCGAGAATATGTGGGCGGAATTATTGTCTGTTAATCAAACGATCGGCAATTCTCGGAGACGGTGTGACGACAGTTGGTGCCTATTTCTAGTCCAAACTTCCAACAGTGATAACTTCGTTCAGAATAAAGTAATTTGACTGAAATTTTCAATATTTATCATCTTTATTTGAACGGTTATGTCAAGAATGGCCAACTCTTTATTAAAATCTTAACTAATGTATCTTTAACTGCTATTCTACACTTAATTGACTCAGATGAATCTGGGTGTACATCAGATATTCGCCTAGTTAACTATCACTGAAGATTTACTTTTAATACTTGAGAGAATATTTGGCATTAATCTTAAAGCACCACATTCAGATTGGTCGTTATATTTTTATTTGGCTGAAATTGCATTTATCGAGCCATGGATAGACCTGCTGTCTGTCCGCAATCAGAAGTATCAAGTTCGTTGAATTCAAGCTATGCGTTCGTTGACATTTGGGAGGGACTATACTTTCACACGAAAGACAGTTGTCAAGAATTTAAAGAGATAATGTGAAAGATTACACAAAGGTTATCTAATCTGCAAAGGAAGCGATGCGATCAAGCAAAAGCAAAATAATATTGCTGCCAGGACGCCAATCTAGGTCAAGGTTACCCGGTTCAATGAGGAATTCTATGGAGTTTATTTTATGGATCTTTACGTGTTTTTAAGCTGTTGTGCGATTTGTATTTGAATTAAATCTGGAGATAGCTGTGTTTTGTTTACTGTGAGATCTTATCAGTTTTCTGATCAATTTGTAGATGGTTAGAATATGTCTGTCGGTGTCCTACTTTCCCAAACGTAACATATAACAATCTTTTTAAGGCAGTGTATGTTATAAGATTGGTAAAACAAAGGCCCTTTGGGTCTCCTGAAGACCACATCTTTATTTCAGAAAATTTCCTACTACATGTAATCGATGTTTTACGAAAACGGTTACCGGTGACCATAATATTAAGAACAAGTAATTTCCCATTTTGTACCACAAACGAAAATGTCACTTAACCACGTATTTAGCACTTCTAAACGTCAATTAACGATTCTTCAATCATTTAAGAAAATATTCTCTCTCAAACTGTTAATAAAGAATTGTGATGTTTTGAAATGCCTTTTGAAATGCGTACTTGTCACGGGCAAGCTGTGTCGAGTTCCGTGTACTTGCATATTTCATATAAGAAAATTAATATATTTTTTTCGACATGAAAATGAAGTGCATATTAAACTTCCATTAGCCTTTCAAAGGACGTTTTTTTGTCATTTATTGAATCAATCAATAAAAGCTAAACAGTCACCAGATTAACGAACAAAAACAAAAATTTGGCAAATAGATTAACCTATTGAGAACCACTCAAATCTCTTCTAAAATCCCATCTCATGTTACACGTATAATTTTTGCTCTTTCGTTGCATTAAATATCGGATTCGAGTTATTATTTGCTGATATCGTTTCGTGTTTTCTTCATTCCAGTATTTGTAGCGTGACATGGAGAAATAGAAGATCTGGTAGGATTTATGATGCGCGGTATGGGGTGGAATTTAGACTTACTCTAAGTGGCTGATAACACGATAAGCTAGACCCCCTCTAGATACGCCATAACATTTTATATCTTTAATATACTTTACATCATACAATATTTACATGTAAACAATGTTTCCGGTAAACAAGGTAGTGTGGTTTTAATATAAACTGAGGTCATTATCCAATATTTATGATGACGTAAATAATAATATAAAAAAGGGTTAGAAATTATGATTTCTCGCGCGACATTTTCAATAATGTTGATTAGGTAGCAAGTATTGAGGTCGTCGTTTCTTGTGACGTTTTACTGTTGTCGGCAGATGAGTGGTTTACAGTGACAACGATGTCCAATTTATTTGTAACGTAATAAAAAGGTGTTAATATTGCTTTATTCAACTCAAAACATGTGTGAAGGCCTACTTTACGTTAAATATATCCACAAAAAAGTCAGATCTACCAATCAGTGCATTATGGGTAAGTTTTGTTAGTATTCTATACATCGCATCTCAACTAATCAAAATTCGTCCACGTTCACAACCAAGACCGGTTTCACAAAAACCCCAAACACAGTTCTCATTACATACTTCACAAAAACCATAACCGATTTACCAAGTTTTTAATCCAAACCAGAACTAGTTTTAGTAAAAAGTATATATACTTAAAACGGCTTAACGTGTTTAATATCTTTACAAACTCATTATTATTATATATTTTAAAAAAAGGATATATTTTTATAGATAATTATACAATTAAATCACAATAAATTTAATAAGGAAACAGGGAAATATATAATAGTTTGTGTTGTGGAAATCCGACACCATAACAGTCAAAAAAATCGTGTATATGTGACATATTTTTAAGAGAAACACACAAAAGTCACAATATTTAAAAAATCTATAGACACCAAGTAAAAAAAAAGAAAAAAATCCACGGCACGCTTGCGCAAGCAAAAATTAAAACACAAATTAAAAAGATATATATAAATATATATAAAAATACAGAAAATCTGTCACAAAAAACACAAACTGTGATTCACCTAGTATGGCCTTATGGGTAATCTCGGGGTGGTGTAACGAGATTCAGCGAGATGAGACTCTGCGAGATTTGGATAATATCACCATATCCGTTTCCGGTGTATCAATCATCTGACGAAAAGTACAAAAATTATTATGGGATGTTTTGAGACATTTCATTGGTTAGTTTAAAAATGAAGAACAAATCAAATGTAAGGTTATTATTTTGACACAAAAAGAAGTTGAAATTTTTGCTTGTGCAGCGAGCATATACTTGATAATAAAAATAATAATAATACAAAAATAATCCATCAATTGAACATGCAATTTATTAGTTATAATACATTATATTCGCCTGTTATTTCCATTTTAAAATATAAATGAAACAATAGTCATCAAATGAAATATGATGAAACCAACTTTAATATTAGATCGTGTTCTTTATTTGAAATTGAAGTTCAAGCATCCTGTTATGAAACCAATGGGTGGAATATTAATGTTGTATGTCGTAAATACAACTACATCGGGATATAAATATCGAGTAAAACATTTCATGTGAAAGAAATACCAAGGGAAGAAAAGAAACAGTCCCAGAATTAAACTAGCATCATAAATTCATTTGTTCTATCTATCTATATTTAAAATTTGTACAACAAGAATTCAATTCAACCAGTGGGGGGATAACTTAAGAGCTCGGGGCGACATTTTGATATAGTTGAAGTTTCACGAGAGAAGAAGTTAGAAGGTACAAATACAGATAAAAGAAAAGGAAAGGGTAATTCTATCTCGACCATCTGGTAGCCTGGAACTCTTCAACAAAGGAAGATAAATAAAACAAAGCCAACGACTCTTTAAAAACGGGGGTAAAGAAAACGTAAGGCAATGACGTCATATACCTGGTGTTTATTGTGAGGGAAATATCAAAGGGTTATTATCACGTGGCGCGTGGACTATAAGGAGCGTGTGGAATCTGAATGATATTTGGAAGAGAAGATAAAATTACAAATGGCGAGAGGAAACAATATATAGATAACACTGAATTTCCTTTTCTGGAAGTTTCTTGTACCAGACATTTATAAATTGCTTTCAGTTTCATTTTCGATCTGTTTTCTTTGTTCTTGGTACCAAGATCAAACTAGGGAAATCGTTAAATTCTTAACCATAGTAAAAACGTGTGGTCACTTTGGGTTTTTATTGTTGGTTGTAATCAAATCATCTTTTAAAATATCTGGACTACAAACGCTAGAATACATAACATTCTTAACCTCACAAGCTCCCTTTCAGAGTAATTTTTTATTGTTCTTGAAATTAAATCATTGTTGCCAATAACGATAACCAGTCAAAAGATCATCAAAGAAGCAATTCAAAGAAATGGTTAGCAACATAGAGTTGTAATTACCATTTGAAATAGAATCGTCCTTCAAAATTTATTACATTCTTTACTTTTATAGTCTGGCTTATATCTAGCAGATTGTATTTGGAAATTCAATTATTATTTTACAAATCTGGACACTCCATTGGTAACATTCGCTAGATAATCGCTATATGATTTTCAAAGGCTTAATTCTTAGAGTTTGCTTATTCTCTTGGGGTTTTTTATTTATTCGCTTTGATTAGATGTCCCGATTCCTTCAAGAATAATGTTTGATCCCCAGACGGTCAGCAAGACACGGTTAAAGAGCAAAGGAAATGTTTCATTAAAAGAAAAGCTAAAATAAAACGTCAGCTGGTTTATCTTTTTCATTTAATACCAGTTTTATTCTCTTGTTGGGATATTTGATCTAATCAACCAGAAAATAAAACTCCATTGTTATCATCAATTACAAATGCTTTCGGTTAATCGTTTTATTTTCCTCTTAAATTACGACTCTAGGGTCTTTGACTGGAAAACTTAAATTGATTCTGGGAATTGCCATAAATGTCAAGTTTATCAGATTTGGTTTCTGAACAAGCCTCACGGACTGAAATATTTTTCTAAATATCAGATCGCCCAAATACGGCCTCAGAATCCAGAAACAGAAGCCGAACTCTGACCTTTTGCAAAGCCAGCATCCGGATGTAAAAAGGGAAGAAAAAGATTTAACTTGAACAGATGAAAGAGTATTGAATTTCGTTTCAGCAGGTTTATGATGTTTAAATCTGGAAATTTGCACTCACCCATATTGGCTTGGTAGAACCGGTAATCCAGATTTAAGAGCGAAGGGAAAAGCAGCTGAAACGAAAGATATAAAAAGATCTAATATATGTAAATAGTTATTAATGGTGTTTTCTTTAAACATATGTTTTTGTTTAAAAGGCGATTCTCAGCGGTTCTTTATAAATATATTTCATTGGTGTTTAATAAACAAAAATAAATTCTCCCTTGAGGTAAATATACACCATGTACATTAGCATTTACAGCCTGTGCCAATAACCTCTCCCTGGTCTACGCTGTGCGAAACAGGTAAATCGACGACTGTCATTGAATTTCGGAGCTTTATCTAAAATGCATACATGTATATAGAAGAATATTTTCATTCATTCACTCAAGTCATCATTCTCAGATAAAGGCCAGTTATTGGCATCAAGTCATTAACAGAACTAATCAAATAATATGGCATTAATATCATTCCTTGGCGACTTCCATAATCTATCAAATACAACTTATAAACTTATAAGCGGGTCCTTGTTTATTATATGTCAAACTGTCAATCACATTTGAACCTAAAGAGAATCGGGCGTCTTGCGGGGGTAGAGGCCAATACTTGTGGTCATAAATGTGAAGTATACAAATATATCCAGTACAGGGACACTAAGCTCCCCTTTCATGGTTAATTCCAGAAAAAAAGAAAGTCAAATAATAAAATATGAAAGGTAATTTCTAGTGCAAAGCACAAACATCAAAGGTTAAAAACCATGTTATTTTTAGAGGCGTGTTATATTTTTAAAGTAGATTTTAATTGTGACCATATCTTCAGTCTAGCTGTCTATTCATTAACCCTTTAACCATAAACAGGTGCGCTTTCCACACAAATCCTAATCTCTTCTTACAACTTATATTTCTTATTTACGACATTCAAATGGCTATTTTACGACACTGAAAATGGCCGTTTTATTAGTTCTCCTTTTCTAAGTGAGAGCGTCTCTATTCTTTAAATGATCTCAAGTAATATAAACAGTTATTGGCTTAACCCCGAGTGACCTTGTTAACACTTATAAAATAAGGCCACTTATTGGGCAGTACACATCACGTGATACACATATTCATATATTTTTGATAGGAATACATTGTTTACCCCTGATATAAGTATCCGTCTACAGCGTGCTTAGTAATGTTTACTTAGTTTTTGCAATCTAATACAAGTACACGTACTTATAATGTCGCTTATAATTAGCCCATAAAGCCTTAGGAAATTGTCTCATACAAAATGGCGGCATTTAATATTGTACCCATCTAATATTAATTTTGAACTTGTCGACAGATTTTATGCACTGCTGTGCTGTGTGGTTCACCTTAGAGTCTGCAAGTTGGGTAAAACGGTGATCCGTGGTCAATGCTATCTGACAAACTTGGCACAAATAACAGATATATACAGATTGTCATAAACCCGGCTTTAAAATTGTATCAATTAAAATGTACTTTCGTTTGGCATTTGAGTACTTGACTGACCTATTTTAATCGAATATACTTGATATTGTGGTCGATACGTATGTGTTAGGGGTGGGGGAGTAACAATTGCTATATATTAATTTGCCATTTTGAAATTAAACGTCAGAGCTAGCCTTATTGTATACCGTGGATTATGATAAGGTTTTATACTTGTGGGTCACCTTTGACGCAAATTCGTGCAGCTATTGCATTGTGAAATATATATTCTTGTTTATAAAGCCACTATAAGCTATTAATCCTTATTGATTATATTTCCTGTATATGAAAGAAGTTGATTAAGAACGCCTTTTAGGAGAATAAAATGAAAAGCGACAATAGATCAGTCGATGTCAGGAATCTTAAAAGATAACACAATTCCAAGTTAAATCTTCGCACAAATATTGTATGTTAAGAAATCGATTTCGGTATCTATAGACAATATTGGATTTAGATACTCGATAAAAATCATAGCATTTCTTCCTTTTTATGGATTCTTTGTTCTTGTGTGTTGTTAATCGATATGTGAAGACACGGTTGTCCATTCTCATTTAACTATGAATTTTATTGATGTCAGAAATAATATTTACAGTAAAGGGGACTGTCCTTTGGGAAGTCTTCTAATGCAATGGACGTTTACGATAGGTTCACGGCGTCGCGGTACCAGGTTTGATCAGAATCCTTGTGCAGTGGATTCGAAAATTAAAGTATCACTTACGTTGCTGTTTGGTTGCCTGTTTATATATATTTTATAGCAACTTAGTATTGGTTTATCACTTTGTGTCAATACCTTTATATAACACTCAACTAGAAAGCGTTTCAACCACCCAAAATATGTATCAGGAGCATAAATCTTAGATTTCTTGTTATATTGCTTATTGATTTACATGTATATTTTTAAAACTTAATATTAGGGTTTTGGAGTACCTAGCTGTATATTATGTATGCTCATCACTTTACTTGAATAAAATGTCAAACTGGGTACCATGTGAAACTGCGACACCGGATCAATATATTTGACTTACACCTGTATTTACGTCATGGTTTGCAATGTCCGTATGGAGTGGTGCTTACTGTGTTAAGTAGACCACCCCTCAATATACATTATTCTTTTAGTGGGGCCATAAAATATAAATAAGACAGCGCACTCTATATATGGGTTAAATAATCCATTTCCTTTAACCAATTCAATATTCATATATTTAACATTCCTTAACTTATATAGATCATTTATAATGTGTAAAATTTAGAATACTGTAACCGAAATCGGGAGCTTTAAAGGATTAACTGTGACGTCGTAGAATAGTACATGTAGTTGTTTTACGAATGATATTCTATCCATAAACTGTACTTTTATAGGAGATAATTGAAACATTTCATGTCAATAACCCTTAAATCAGTTAACTCATCATCGGCCTATTTGCTCTCGTTATAACTAATTGCTCATTAGCCGATACTTGAAGCAGTTGTTTAATCGCTCATTTTCTTTCATGGTCAGTGATGTCTTACATGTATATATTTAATATTTTCTTCTGGGCGTCTACCTGGGAATGTCTGAATATAGCTGTGTTATCTTTAGACGGTAAAAGAAAATTATTTATACATATAGATGTATCTATTTTCCATTTCCATCGTAAACGTTTGATTTCGTCTGGGTGAACGTCATTTTCGAGTTATAGTAAACTGTATTCCATTGCCCCGTCTTCATTTTCCCGATGGGCGCAGAAAAGTACATGTAGGACGTTAAACCCCATTTCTTTTCGTATGCCATTGAATATGTAAAGCTGTATGTGGGTGATTACTATATTTGAAACAGTATGTATAAATTATATATACTATTCAAAAAAAGTAGGGGATATTTGATTTTTAAGTGTTATTAAAGTCACCTAATGAAACTGACGAAGAAACAAATGACAAAATGAAATGAAGTTCACATTCATCGATTTATTCCAAATGATCGTTAGACTAAGTAAGGCACAGACTGACCATTATAAGGGTAAAATGATACCCGGGGTCAAACAGCAAAGTTACCACAGCATCACAACCAAGTCAGTAACGGGTAAATCCTCCTCTGTTTGCCAAACAAGCATTGATCCGACGTGGCATACTCCTAATGAGACGTCTAAGGTCATTTTGGTCCAGATTGTCCCATTCCTGTTGCAACGCAGCAGCAAGTTCTTGGACATTGGCAGGACGTTGTTGACGTTGACGTAACCTCTGTCCAAGCATGTGCCAGACATGCTCGATGGGGGAGAGGTCGGGACTCAGTGCTGGCCAAGGTAATGTGGTGATGTTCTGTTGTTGGAGGTAACCTGTAACGATCCTGGCCCTGTGACATCTTGCGTTGTCATCCTGGAAGATGAAACGGCGGCCATGACGTCGTGCGAACGGCACAACATGGACTGCCAAGATGTTGTCCCGGTAGTACTGGCCTGTAACACGCCCTGCAACAACATGTAAAGCCGTTCTTCCAGCAACAGTGATGCCTCCCCACACCATAACAGAACCACCCCCAATTCGATCATGTCTGATGACGTTAACGTCTTGGAAGCGCTCGTTTCGACGACGCCACACCCTCCTACGTCTGTCCAAAAAATCAACAGTGAACCTTGACTCATCTGAAAACATCACATCGCTCCAGCGTCGATTATCCCAGTGTTGACGATCCCTACACCAACGACGTCTTGCCTGAATCTGATGATCTCTCAAACAAGGGATCACGCGAGGACGTCGGGCGCGAAGGTGACCCCTATGCAGTCGATTCCGAATCGTCTGGCCACTCACACTCACACCAGTGTCTGTTTGAAGACGAGCGCTGATCTGATTTGCTGTGATGACACGATTTCTCAAGGCCAAGGTACGGATAAATCGATCCTGGGCTTGAGTTGTCGCCCTTGGTCGACCTGAGCGTGGTCTGTCCTGTACAGATTGTGTATCACGGTATCTGGACCATAGCCTGCTTATGACAGACTGAGAAACATTCATCGTCCGCGCCACAACCGCCTGTGTTGTGCCGATCTGTAGCATGCCAAGGGCACGTAACCTTTCATTTTGGGTAAGCCGACGCATATCAAAATTTGTTTTCTGGTCACTAAAACAATTAAACTGATGTTTCCACCCTGGAATTCAATGCCACAATGACTGTAACATTCAAAGTCAGAGTCGTGCAAATCTTGGGTTGGACCCCCATGATGATCCCAAGCATCACCTGCATTCCATGCGGTAGCTATTGGTGCGTTTGGACGTCACATGTAACTGGAAATGTTTCATCTGTTAGGTTCTATAGTGACTTTTTTCGTAGTCATTTGCATATTTTAGTATTATGCCCCCAAAATCAAATATCCCCTACTTTTTTTGAATAGTATAATAGTAGATATTTATATGAGCGTGTATAGACGAATAAAATACCATTAACTATCTTATAATATACCCTCTAATAACGCACACATTTTGACATATTACTAGAGGCACTAGCAAGGTGAAAGCGGTCATGTATAACATTTTGTATTGCATATTTTGAAAAAATGGTTGGGACTTTAGAAGGGATGGAAATTATTAAGGCATAAATTTAAGTTTGTTTTGTTCAGGACACCTGGTTATAGTGGTGCAAATTTAATGAGATCCAATTTATTTTTTAATAAAGTACTTTTACGTCTATGAAATAGATTTACCTTTTTCTGTTTTATATATAAAATAGTAATATAGAGCATGCATGAATATGAGAGTTTGGTCACTCGACATTATCAATATGGATCGAGGTCACTCCACTTAGGGAACCATGGGGGATATGTTTACTCTCGAGGATTAGGGCCACACGAGACAAGACAACATTGCGAGGTTATAAAGGGTCACTAGACTACAAGATAATACCCAGGTAGTCCCTAGAGAACCCCTTCTTCACTCATTGACTCGACACTAAGACCCGACTACTGATAAAAGAAGTATTGAACCGTGGACACTGAATAACGGTATACGGCTTATAAATAACTCATAAGCGTCAAGTTATTAACAAGTATAATGAAAAAGAATGGTTTTATGACCGACCCCTGTGGAAATCCCTAATCCATCTGTCAGTAAATGTCTACTCGGTGCCTAACTCCTTATTTCTCAAATTTCATGGCTTTACACACTCTAAGGCATCTCATTTAGCCCCATTTGAAGTCTTACAAAACAATATTTTTTCAGCACATGGATTAATATACCACAGATCATTTATTCCAATGGCTTAGTTTCTTAATCGTGTCATCTATAGGGCTCATTTGAAATGAAAACGTCTTCTTATCAACAAGTTATCATGTCGAATTTGGAACGTATATTTTTTTCTGTTACTCCATCCAGTGCTATTTTTGTTTGTTCATTCAACCCTTGTCTAATCCACATGAAGTGCAAAGTAATTTTGAATCGTGTTACATGTATATTTGATTATTCCATCTATTCATACCTGATTGTAAATTTCCTCTGGGTTTAGCACCTAAGTAAGCCAGGTTAACATTGGCTTTTCTTCCGTCTATTATAGGGTTAGGGTCCTTACATGCACGTTCTGCTGCTGGTCGGTCTGACATTGTTACCTGAAAACAAATAAAAGGTAATGAATATAACATAGCTTACGGGTAGACATAACAAATCATGCGACATTTAATCCCAAATTTATTATATCGACAGGTTCTGTAAGGGAACAACTAATTTCCCTGTTTGTAAATCCAATCTCGAATGTTTTTAATAAAAGAAGGGAACACACATTCCTAATGCGACCATAGAAAAGAAAATCTAATGGACGAACTAATTTAATGGCAGATGAACTATTTAAAGCCTATAATTTATTATTGTGCAACACAATCTTTGTTTGAAGAATATCTCCTGAATTTTGTGAAAGCTTGTTAAGAGCCCTCAAGAGGAAAATATTGCAAATTGTAAGTAAATTTGTTCAATAATTATCGTTGATATTCCATTTATTATCTTTGCTGAACAGAAGAATAATCCAAACATTGACCTGCATGCCAATGTGTTCTCTGATGAACATGGAATCTGTAACTAATGATAAGCAAATAACGAGAATGTAAACCGTAAAGTATATAAATATTATAAATGAAAACCAAGTCACATATGCGATTCTACGTTACATCTACTGTGGAGAATGATTTTATGATTCATAATGTGTAACCAACTGTCTATTCTCCTTTTCATTACAAATTTATTTCAACAACTTTCCGAAAGCGTTCAGTCATTGGGTTTGAAACTTGTGCGGTGTCCACAAAGCATAGAACCAAACGAATGTACGTGTAAACTAATATGGAATGTGGAAATATGTACGTAAATGATACGGTAATAAAACTAATCTACAGGCTGATAATATAATAAAAAATGATAAAACCACAGAAACTTGATAATAAATTTATAATGAAAAACAGAAGAAAAAGTATTTCAAACATTTCAGAATAGAATAAAGAGTCATGGTATACAGACGACACTCGTCGATTTAAATTTGTGATTTGGATCACTAAAATTCGTCTCTTTTAGATACTACGTGTACTTTCACTTCTATTAATATATTATGACCTTTTTACTTTTGCTCCCTGTTTTAGTTAATTACCCGTCTTCCTTAGCCCAGTCGGAGCAGAACAGTAGGACATTAAACCCCATTTCATTTCATTTAGTTTATTAGTCAAACCAGGTGGCGAGTTTTCCTTTAAGGCGATTAATTTTATTCGGGACAGTTGTTTACAGTTAAAGGTGACAACAGATGTTATATAACGTGACAATTAATAGTTATTGTACCAGTTGTAATACATGCACATAGTCTTACTTACAGGTGACACTCAATGTACACGTTTCATATGGCCATTAAAGGGGAATTGTCACCAAATTAGAAACTTTTTACTAGCGATAATCACGTGATATTGACGATTTCTGTCGATTACCTAACCAATTAGTTTTGTCAAACATCTATCCCAATGCAATATTTAATGTGCATACGCTAACGAACATGTGCCTTTAAAGGAGTAGTTCCACCGGTAACCTTGGATATATTTTGACATGATTCAAGGTTAATGTGTCTCGTATTTTATGAATATATATTTCCAATGTGCAACTAACACCTTACTCATTTAACTGAAAAATTCAATCTGGATAAATAAATCTATATTGTTTTACATGTGCCAATAATTCAACAATATCTATGGCATGTTTGTTCAATATGCATAGTATGTGTAGTGAAGATCCACCTGATGTCCTTGTATACCCAGTCGTGCACACAGCATGCATGCTTTCAAATGAGATGAAGTGATCTGTGTTATGATTATTAGACAAAATATATCACAGGCGTTCAAATATATTAAAATATTTCATACTTAAAGGGCGCTTGAAACCGTTTTGTCCATAGAGTACACGACGTCGTGTACTGATTTTAACATGTCGATTGTGGATTTTTGGATCCCATTTTTTCGCGATAATATCGATATTGAATTCTTATTCGTGTTTTCTATTTCGAATATTATGCATAATAGTTAGTTAGAGGTTAGCTCATTTAAAAGCAACGAATCTATCCCGTAACTACGCAGATTAATGAGAAAACATATGTTTATATTAATTAACTTGGGTTTTATATTCCTCATATAAGACATACTATCCACGTGTATAGGGCTATCGATTTTCGATAAAATTATTCTGTATATAAAATTATCTTTACAGATGAATAAATATCTGAATATTTCACTGAGGAAGTGAGATTGACTTTACAAATGAAGTATGTATAGCTAACAAAATATGTATTTTATTGTTCATTAAAACGTGATTTATATTTCGTTTCGGTGAATGTATTTGATAATGTGATGTCCATGCACTGAAATGACATTTGCTGATAAATCCCGTGTAGGTGAATGCATTTGTATGTCTTGTTATCATGTCAATTTCAAAATTATCCATATACTGCGACATTTGTGTAACAGATGCACATTTTATTAAAAATGGTAAATATATATTTGAAATATACATTCCAGACACTGGCCTTGCGCATATTTCGTGTTATTTAAATTGTGTATATCAAATATGTGGGTGTATATTTGAAACGGCGTTTTAACATAATACAAATACACGTAGTAGTGTATTGAATGCATCTTTTTGTATATTGGTAATAGTTTGAATAAACATAAAGTTGATATACCACATGTGAAAATCAACAACGTGCATTAAATGATCAAAATAATTATTATTCTATATTGTATATAAGACTATTTCATATATGCATTGTCTTTTTTATGTTGTATATTAAAATCTATTTCAATTTATGATATTCACATTACATTTTTAATAGTTTATAGTGTATAGATGATATAAATGTATGACACGAATGTATGGCCCACATTTTGTTTAACTCTTTCAATTTGTGTATCGCATAGTAATGTATCTATTTGAGACGATTTTTATGTCAGGTCAGCATGATATACAAGTAATATATAACGGGATATACGTGAGATACCATGTTTAAAAGTGATATAATATAAGTATAAATGATAAGTAGTAGATATAAAACTATGGTATATTAGGTGTGATATATAAATGTAAATATTTGTGTCTAACACCCAGTAATACACAGCATTGATATAAACACAGTTGGGGGCGTTTAAAATGAGAAATATCTTACGTTTAAAAACATATATTTTACCATAGAAAACTTTCTTCTTAATAAATTGCCTCCCTTATATTACAGAAATTGTTTTTATTTGAAGTTTTTTGTTTAATGCATGGTGTACACGTATATAACAAGTACAGGAGGACAGCACCACATAAAACAATACATATTATAATGTAATGGTTATCAACGTCTTGTCTATACTAAGGTTAGTGGTTCTCCAAGACTCTGGTCACACTCTTCCCCTCGTGATCCCAGGTTTCTTCATATCCTCCCTTATTTTGAATTGTCATCTAGTAATGTTTGGCAGTGATGCAGGACGGAGGGCCTGACAAGGACAGCTGTCTAGTCCTTCGGATGAGACGAAAAACCGGGGTCCCGTGTATACATTGGAATGCACGTAAAAGATCCCTTGGCAGTTGGAATTCGATATAAGAGTAGGCGATAGTGCCGCTGCCCGGGCAAAATTTCCCTCATAGCACACTTTATGGCGTATGCCCGTCTTCATTAGCCCAGTTTAGGAGCAGAACAGTAGGACGTTAAACCCCATTTCATTTCATTTCATTTCAGTAATGTTTGGATCGTTATACTTTTATGGTGGTAATTATTAAAATCTAAATTTATGAATTGAACAGCATGTGAAGAATTGTTAATAATAGGACGCCCTTTTAGTTGCGTATATTAGTACGGTCCTTTATCTGCCGGCAGCACTTTCGATTATCAGATACAACACTACAGTATCCTTTAATAAATGTTTCACCTTGACGCATATCTTTCTCAAATCAAATTTATGCGAAAGTAAAATATAATACTAACATTAATCTGGTTCGCCTTAAGGCAAAAAACACAAAATATTTCCATGTTATTCTCTGTCTTCCAGTTAATAAGTTAAATAAAATGTCATTCTGGCTTAAATTTTTAGATAGTCCGGACATTTTGTGACGCTAGCTGAAAGTTATCCCCCACGATTTTATATGAACGCACAAAAATGCAATTATTTAGTGTACTACACGATAGGGATGCCTTTTTAAAAATATAACCCTCAATTATGATATCATTATAACGCGTTGGTACGTTCAAAACAGGTAACGTATTGTCTTCAACCCGCCTCTATTCATTATTATAATAATCACAGCTCAGCCTTACACCCCACCTAGATATGTAGACCTTTCATTTACAGGTGAAACTCCACTCGCGGCAGTCATACTTCATACCCATGATTAAAGAGACATGATGCATGTATATTTACACAAAACTGTCCGACCGTTAACAAATTAAAATTTAAACCAAAAAAGTCAATATATAATACCAATTTCTGTAACGTCATGTTTATAACTTCTATACATAGTCTATAACTTTATAACCCAAACTATATGACGTCAAATCAAGAGTATGTAAGGTTGATGTCGCTCTAGGTGAAAGCGGATGTAAAGTCCAAGAAGAGAAAGGATAAGTGGAGCGCCAAGATTAAAACTACAGCGTTTTGAACGTGTATGTATATAGCGTCCTGAACGTGTACATTGTCATGTTCGTCTAGAATATGTATGTCTATAGCGCCCTGAACATGTTTGTGTATAGCGTCATGAACGTGTATATCTATGGCGTCATGAACGTGTATATCTATGGCGTCTTGAACGTATATGCTAAATACCAAAAGTATTATCTACATCATTCAATAATTCTTTATGAAGTTATTGATATGTACATTTAAACTTTTTTGCCGCCCACTACGCGTTTTCGACGAATAATAAGTGTTATCAATCGAAACAAGACAAATTTATTGCAGATCATATTGAAAGTTCACAAATAGTCTTGAGAAATGAATAACCATAGCCTTGGTAGAAATATATCCTGCTATAAACCTTAAGGCGTTTCAGCGTTTTTGTGTACTCAAATAGCTGACTTCAGTTAACGCACATAAATAAATCGCAAATGATCTGG